ACATTACTTAAAAAAATCAAATTCAACCAATTCATACGAGGCACCTACGGTGCGCATATGCATTTATTACGAGTCAGGAATACTACACTTTCTTACTTTTACAAATGAAACAAAAAAGACTATTTGGTTTTGATTTTAAGTTTGAAGGAAATCATAATTGCAGCAGCATTTCAGTGCACAACCACAGCAACATAGCTACGCACACGGACAAGGTGATTGGAGAACCTTGTCCTCCAGACAATTTTCAAACGGAAGCTTTGCGGAACAAAACATTTTCTTAAATATATACCCCTTTTTTAGCCCTTTCAATTCGTAAAATTGCTATCATGTTTGTTGATGAGGCTCTCCAAACCATCTCTCAAACGCGAAAATGATTAAAATTAATTGCACTAATTTTTTAATTTAAGTTATATAATAATTTCATTCTCCGTTATGTACATTTTATTCATTTACTAGTGAAATATTTAGTAAGTAAAAAAGTCCAATAGCCTCTCGCTTCCTGTGATGTGATCCGTGGTTCGATCCCCGGTCGAGGCCAAAACAGAATTGCAGCTTTCCTTTAAAATTCACAACTCTGATGCCTCTGTTGCCCCTCCAGAGGGACTGAAGCGGGCTCCGGCCCGGGGGCCGCCGTTAGCCAGCCAGAAGGAGCGCAGGGGGAGCGGGGGAGTACTCACATGAGGTCCGGTCGGAAGTGGTGGATGAGCGCGCAGAAGGCCAGCCCGTCGCGCCACGACGTGCTCATGTTGTCGACGCGCACGCCGCGGTAGCCCTCCGTCACGCGCCGGCACCACGCCTCCAGGGCGCGCATGCCGCGCCGCTCGCCCATCGCTCTGCAACACCACACACGCGGTCAGCACGCCGCCAACACCACAAATACACATGCGCGCATTTTAAACTATTTTTATCTAATTTTATCCTATACGTATGGAGTAACATAGTAGTAATAACGTAGGCCAAGTATAGCACAAAAAAAGCGATCATGTTTCGAAAAAATCGATTTCGAGATTTCAACGAAAATAGATGTTTTGAGGTCTCCCTACACAGAAAAATCCCCCCCCCTCCCGTCTGTGTCTGTCGGGGCCCACGTGTCCGTCTGTAAGCAATAAATACAGTAATTTATCAATAAATTATTGCCCATTTTTTTAACTAACTTTTTTATACGATATACAAAAAGGATTTAAATGAAATGTTGATCTCGGAAACAAGAATTAGTTGATTAATTGAGAAAAGAGAGGGGTGGTAAATAAGCCAAATTTTGTAATTCTGTCCTTTCAAAACCCACTTACTATATTACACTGTTTTTAAGGAAAAGAAATATTGTTTGGATCAAGAAAACGTTAACAATGTGATGTTTGGTGGGGTCGGCAGGCATACAAATACACAGTCTTTCACAACTTCAATATTATACAAAACATTTTAATTTCCCGTTTACTTTGAGACCAGAAATTCAATAAAGGTAATGGAACATAAAATAAAGGTCCGAAGATAAATTTATTTACAGGAAAGTAATTAACTTTCGCAAGCCATCTAGGAAAAAAGGGTTTTCGATTACATTTTGAAATACAGTATCGTACAATTCAAGTAGACAAGACAAATCACTGGTGGGAAGGTAGTCACTTTTTTACTCCCGACGGAATGTCAAGGACGCTCATTTGCATCGGCGTGTGGTTTCAGAGGCAAACAGCCAAGTGTGAATGTTCATTTTTCCCGGAGCTGGATGAATGGAGGAGCCCCCACCCAGAGCGGTTGCACTCGCTTGCGGTTGACGTACGTGGGGGCGACGGAGCGCGCGTCGGCCGGCGCGCAGCCGATGTGACGTGGAGCGAAGGCAGCATTCGATTAGGCTATTCTCACAACATACACTTTACGTAGTTTCCGAAGTCACCACTAAACACGAATTCGAAACTAACACACAACGAACATGGATGTAATGAAAAATACAATACCCCTAACACCAATTAATATGGCAGGAATTTATTGCTTAACTTTTACTCAAGTTAATTCAAATATATCAGGAATAAACTAACGTATTTCTTTAGGATTTGGATGATATGTATTGAGGCCACACCAATTGTCACGAAAAATTAGTTATTTATCCACAGAGCGTTTTAATTGCCATACATTTCCCATTCCTAATATAAGCAATATACATATGTTAGAGTAAAATTGCAGGGTTACATTCTAAGACTACCTAGGAAGCTATAGTTTTCTTTATAGATAAAGACATGTATATTACATTTTCGTATGATACAATCAGATTTCATGTATTGCATGTTTTATTGCCTTGTAAAGCTTACAAAAGCAAAAATATACTCAAAGATACACAGATTTTCAATAAAAGCTTGTAGATCGTGTTAGAGATATTCAGTTCCAAGTTTTAACGTTTTCGTACGTTTTCGATTGTACGACTTGCAAGAACTCATTTGTCTGAAGACACGTTTTTTCTTATTGACGATAATGTTTACTCCGACGTTGGCTTTCCCGTCAAGCAAAAACACATTTCAATAAATTTTGAAAACAAGTACCATAACGATGCCCGAACAATTGAACAGTGTGGTTGAGAAGATCAATTTTGAAACGTGTCTTACTCCATTTTTTAGGGGCTACATCTTGCTATTCATTAATAAAATATTTAATTAAATATATAGGGTAGGAGTTTTGTATAAGTAATTATGCAATTTGCGTTCTCCCTGTTATCTTTAAGTTTATCATAAATCTACTTGTTGCAATTATTGAAAATCGCAAGCAGAATCATCACGTGTTCCAGCCTTCTTATCTATTAAATTGTATAATTGATCCCTCGAGTAAGGGAAAGTAACATTGCAAGGTCATGAACAACTGGAAAGACTTTATATTTACAAGTAGGAGGAAAATAGAGGAGCACGCATCCATTTCCTGACATCCTTTCCCCTTCTCCAGCCGATGAAGAGGCGAAGAGTCGCCAAGCGCTCGGAGATGAGTCACGCGTTCTGAAAGGGACCGTCCGCTGAGCGAACATCGCAGCAGAGCTCGCCACGTATGAAGTCGCCCGTGGCTTCTACTCTTCGACTACAACAGTGTGTCCCTTCAAGGTCGCTAGCTGAACCGAAAGAGGAGGGGAGAATAATAATCGAATTCAGAGCTTCACTGCCAAAAATGTTAAGTCGTAACAAATCTCGCGATTGAATGATAATGTCCTCCTCCTACCGGGGCGGAAGCAGCCGATCATTTTGAAAGAGGCCATCGTTGATGTGTTAAATAGTGAACATTAGTTACTATATTTAAAATTATTTATGTACTGTATATAGATTCTATACAATATTATTGTTTAAATAATTACATAATTGGGACATAAATATCTAAATCAATTTTGCGAAATAAAGGAAGGTAAACGAAAACTAAGCTTTGTTTGGGAGGTAGGGCATGACCCCCAATGCCCTCGCCAGTGTCTCCTGCCTGTTCGTGATCTGTAAGGGACACACTGTTTCAATAGGATTTAAACGATGCACTTTCACTATTTGATTGATTGAAGAGCATGTTGTTTAATGAGACATGCAATGAATTTCCAAGCAAACTTGCCATTTAACTTAAAAGCTAAACATTATGAAAAGAAGAGATATACAAAGAAATGGACATCTGCCTCGTACCATCAGAAGGGCGCGTGATCTGCACGGCCAGCGCTACCTAGTGCCCGACAGCCGAACCCGCGGCGGCAGCGGCGGCGATCTGATTGGCTGGCCTCGCCGCCTGCCTCGCCGCCGCCCGCGCCGCCCCCTGCACCCGGGAGCGCCTTCCGTCCGACCGGCCTGCGAGGACGCGCTAATTGCAGCGGGAGAGTAAACCTCGTCGCCGCGACCCCACGCGCGGCGAGGGCGAAACGTCTGGGCTCGGGTCAGCCGAAACGAAACCCGTCCACTCTCAGCGAATGCACCAGACTCCATGAGCACACACATTTAAAGATTTGGGGCACCGAGAAGTGTGATCAAAACCACTGCATTACCAATGGAACCAATCTCGTTCAATGTCTCCGATCTCAACAAATTAGTTGAACAGAAATAAAAGAATACAACACCAACCTTCTAAAAACAGAAATGCTTCCATTATCGGTATATGTAACTTGGTTCCTTTCGTGTAGGCATTTTTACTGTGGGCAATGATGTAGTTTATTTGTTTCTCCTTCCCTGTCAATAACTGATTTTCATTGAATTGCCTCTTGATGCTTGGTAACTTTAAGAAATAGAGTGCAATGTATTCTCAGGTTTCTTGATTGAGTCTCAAAGAAAGCCTAATACAAAAATCTGATCTTTCGGCGTGTGGTTTGGTTCGTGGGAGAAAAGTGATTAACGTGCATCCAAAAGGAAACCGTGTTCCGATCGCTGCCTCCCTCGGCCGAGGGCGGGGGAGTGCGAGGGGCTGCTGAGGAGCATCTCGTTGCGTGTCCAAAGCGCCCGCGCAACGGTCCGCGCCCCGTTGCCGATGCCGAGCCACAAAAAGCTGCAATACAAAGCCGCCCTGTAATCACACGCCGAGGCCCACTTGGGCTGTCAGGAGCGACGGCACGGCCTCCTGGTCGCCCAAAGTGAGGGCGCGGGGCGGGGCGGTGTATGTATTTTCGCGTGCGGTAGAAAATGGAAGGGAGATACATAAGCATCACCCTTCGGAGATGGCGAGCACCAAGAGCGTTCTCGTTGGCAATGTTAAGTAATATGTGAGAGAGGCGCAAGTGAACAAATCACACGAAAGCAGTCGGAAAAAATAGGAAAAGAGAAAACAAAATATACTTTCGAAAAGAAAAGTATAGAAAAAGATGGACGGAATGATAGTGAATCTGCGAAGCTGAAAGAAAAGCCGTCGGGGGAGGGGCGAGCGGAGGCGCTGGCGGGAGCGCACCCCTGCCGCCGCCTCGTCGCCTCAGCGCCGCGGGGCACAGATCCCTTGGATTCCCCGAACCAGGCAAACGCCACGCGGAGCGCACTCCCACAAACATTCGCGCCGCGCGCGGCCCCAGCAGCCGCGTTTCTTCCGTTTATATCAAAGTACGAAATGCATACACAGGGCCGGAACACTACATTATCCAATCACTTCTAGGCTGTCCGGGTGACACCGCATCGTTGGCAGAGAAGCCTCCCTGCCAACGATGCGGCGTCACCCGGACAGCCTAGAAGTCTTGAACTGGAGCCGCGGAAGCCTACATGTATATATTAACCAATGTTTCATTAGTGCAATAGTGTTGCCATTATGGACATGTTACTCTAATTGTAGAAAGATATTACTGTACTAGTATCACTTTCAATTAACGATATCGAATTGTGAAAATACCCGTTAAGGTGATTTAAGTCGAACACTCAATACTATGAATTTAAAAATAATCGTGAATGTACAGAAACATGTCGGAAGTATGTACTCGGATGAGAATCTGCAAAATGAAGAAAGTAGGCAAAACTGGACTACTCAACCACTCTAAATACGTGGGACGAAAGTAAAATAAAGGTGCGCGCGAAATGAAGAATCAGGTGAACGAAGGGGGAATGGTCCGAAATGTAGGTGCCGCGATCCCTTGTACAGTGGGAGGGGGGCGAAAAGTAAAAGCTCCCTGAGCGTCGAAGGTGCGTCGCATTGCGTTGCGTCGCGCCGCGCCGGTCCCACGCGGGCGCCGAACGCGCCACCGGATTCAGAGCGGCGCGGGCAGCGGAGCGTGGCCGGCAGACCCCACACGCGCGCCCCACCCCCACCCCCACCAACCGCAGCGGCGGGGCATAATAATAGCCCGCGCGCCTGCACAAAATTCAACAAATCCGTGCGACCAGCGAGATGCTCCACAATAAAACAACCTCATCCACTCGCCCCGCTT